GGCGACTCTTGCTAACCGTACAAGTGCGAATACGAACGCAAAACACTAGTCAGTTCTCCCACCGTACCACACATACCATGACCCATTTTTGAAGGCAACAAGTGGATTGTAACCCTAGGGGTGCAAGTGTGTATTGTGTTAGATTTTCATGCATATTTGTCTTTGATTATGTCAAGCTATTTGTTGATTAATTTTTGCATACAAACCTTAATTCTCTAATCATGGCATAATTGAAAGCGTAAAGTGCGAGAATTTAAAATTCTAAGCTATTACAACATGATTATGGGGATGGGGGTACAATTTTTGAATAGGGGTATTTGACAAGAAATATAAACCCTAGTTTACTATTACATCCAAATTGAATTTAATTGCATAAAATAAATGGACAATATTTAAATGATCAAAATAAATAAATATATCAAATAAATAAATGAATTATGCAAAAAGGTTTTTATTTACCTATGTATGTAAAAGTATTTTTAATGTAAAAAATATAAAGAAATAAATAAATAAAAAAGATTAATTTTATTTGTTTAAGGATAAACCCTAATTTCTTTAAGAAAATAAATACAATATATTATTTATATACAATAAAATATATTAATATGTACAAAGATAAAATATACTCAAAAAAAGTATTTTTTAGTATAAATAATAATAAAAATAAAAATGTAATATTTTGTACTTTTTTATTCTAGAGTATTTAATAAAATGAAAAGTATATATGTATATATGTATATTAATCAAATTAAATATGTATAATATAAAATAAAATATGTACAAAAATAAAATATATTTAAGAAAATATTTTTAGTATGAATAACAATAAGAAATAAAAATAAAAGTATGATTTACATATTATTTCCAAGTTTAAATAAACAAGCCAGAAAAGAAAACAAAAATGCAAAAATGTAAAAATACAAGGAAATGAGCCAGGGGTGCAAAAATGAAAATGGGAGGTGTTAGAAGCAAGCCAGGCCAAGCCCAGCCCACCACTTCATCTTCTTCCTCCAGCATTTTGAAAATACGCACGCGCATGTACAAACTGGGATATCCTGTATACGTGATCTTTTGCAAAAACTCACAACATCAAACTTGTAGAGAATTTCAAGACGATTCCAACCATATAAAACATTAATCCTAACTCTCAAAGACCAGAGAGAATTTCTCTGGCCCTAAAATCTGACCTAGTTTTTTCAACAAGTTCATGGATGAAATTCTCCTAGCACACTTAATATAAATGGAAACTGAGCATATGTATGGCTTCCTAATAATGAACACTACATTTTTTATTCATAAACCTAAGGCTAAATGTTCCTAAATAGAGAGATAGAAAGTGAAGAAAAACCTGTTTCAGTTGGATTCGTGTAGGGCAATGCAGTGCTTTTCAACAAGTTTTGAGATGTCTTGTAGCTTGCCTGAACTTCACTTGTCCTTTTCCAATAGCTAGCTTGCCTTGAATGTCCTTGAATCAGTCCATAGAACTCAACCTGCACAAGCTCAAAATGAAAATGGTGAACACTGTAAATGGAGTTACAGTTGGTAATGGAGGTTTGGGATAGCTTGAGTGAGTTGAATGGAAGGTGTTTGAAGCATAATGGGGCAAAACGCACGAGCCAAATGAGTTGGGGAACTCAAGTTGCAGCACCTGCCCTGTTTTGCCAAAGAAGTGTGATTTCTGGCTATGGGGTGTTTTGGGGCTCAAGCACTCATGTTTCTAGCTCAAAGGGTTGTGAGAAAGATGTTTGAAGTGTTTGTGTAAGTTGATCTTTGCTGGTTTTCAAGTTCTAAGCATTTTGACAAGTTTCTTGTTTTTGAAGCAAGAAAGTGAACTTATGGTTACAGGCCTGTACATGCCATCTTATCACCTTGCACACAATCCTCTTGGCCCCTCTGATTAGTGGATTTGTTTAGCTGCAAGAGATTTGGCTCCATGATCAAGGATTGGTGGTTTGACATAAAGCAAACTTTTGCAAAAATGGAAATATGCCTTTTACTATTTAGGGATTAAACTTGTGTACAATACACTTATGACCAAGACAATGCATTAGCTCAATAGTTTTGCATTAAATTATGGTGTATGAAATGGTTTAGAGGCCTGCAAGCTAGTACAAGACATGCTGGTTTGAAAATGCAACTTGAGTGAACATGATTTTGCCATGGATACAAAGTGAGTTTTTGCCAACTTCAAGCATTCGATTCTCCATAACCATAAATTTTTTTAAGGAGTTCTTGGACAATTTGGAAATCTTGCAACATGATCTATAATACATCTTTGAAGTGAAACTTGAGACTCCAAGTGGAACTATGTGAAAAATGGCCAAGAAGATAGGCCAAAATCCTGCCTAAACTAGGGCAAAATTTCACTGTAAAGTTTTAGGGACCCTTGTTCCAAAAATCATAACTTAAGATCCAAGCTTATTTTGAGAAAACTTTATGAATAAAATTTGTATACTTTGTGGAGGAATACAACGTTCATGTTATAAGTTTTGTTTGAATCCATTTGCATCATGGTGAAAATGTGGGACAAAGTTAGGAAAAATAATTCTATGTTATGAAATTTTTCAACTTTAAACCCTAATTTGCAATTTTGAGTTTCTTGATGAACAAGTTTCATATTTTGACACATCTTGATGAAAAATGACCCTTGGAACTTGATTTTGACCAAAAAGTCAAAGTTTGACTTTTCAGTGTACAGTCAAATTTTGATCAGTTGACTGAAAAATTCATCTGTCAATCCAATGCAATTGAGGTCTTTTGAACTTGTTGAATAGTTCAAGATGATTCCATTGAGTCCTTGAGTCTATGGTTGAGCCTAATTTTCCATTGGCTAGGTCAAAAAGTCAGAAATTGCCTTTGTACAATTAAAACCCTAAAAATGACCATTTTGCCCTTTTGGTGATCTGATCAAATTTCTTGTGGAATTATGGTCCAAACTTTATAAAATGGTTCATATGAGTTCATAATGTTGATGTGGGTCAAAATTCATGAGGTTTGACTGTGAATTGGCCACAGTTGACTTTTTCCCCAATACAGTTGATTTTTAGGTCAACTGTCAAATTGCCTGAGCAAAAAATTTGATTCAAGGCTTGAAACTTGGTATGGACAAACTTATGAGTCCAATATGAAGTATGAAAGTCAATTTGAGTATTGAGGGTCCAAAAATCTTTGTGCAAACTCAAATCCTAGTTTAGGTCAACAATGCAAGGAGATATCTTGAGTAGAGCAAACCCTAGCTTGATCTTGAGTTCAAAGAGCCTTGTGATGAGAAATGTTGATAAAAGGAGAGGGAAAATTTTGGGGTACAACAACGTGTTTGTTCATTGTTCAAGGTACATTTTTGTGCTTTCGATCATGTAACACAACAATTAGTTATATGATCGAAGCATACGTCTTATACTCGTTTCTGATGCGACTCGCTTTATTTATCATCGTCCTGAGAAAATTCATATCATGTTATATGTTGTCCTGACGCATGTGATACTTTATAAGCTTTATGCATATACTTCTGATTACGCATTGCATTCGCAACACGCGTTTGCCTTTATCTTAGTTTGAAATCATTTCTGACTTTGTTTGTTTCTTGGTGATGCTTGCTCGACGCGTACTCCCTGCTTCTCCAGTGCTTTCGCCTGCTCTTGACGACTTGCTCGCTTTGGTAGTCGCCGCTACTACCCTTGTACTTCTTCAAGCTTTATTGCATTTCGTTTTTTCTTTCTATATATCATGAGAATTAGGAAATAAAGAGCGTGCGCTCGAAGTCGCTGTTTAAAGACCTGTAGCAGGCATTCCGCACTTTGTTTGCTATATGTGTTGTGCTTGTGTTTGTTTCTTTGTTTGATTGGTCGATGAGTCACTCAATTTAGGAATTGAGATCACGACTTCGCTCTTAGTGCATGCTCCCTATAGGATTTTATTGCTTTCCTTTATTTCTTGTTGATCGATGAGTCACTCAATTTAGAAATTGAGATCACGACTTCGCTCTCATTGCATGTTTCCTATATGATAGTTTTGTTAGACTTTCTTTGGCATGCTAACCTAGATAGGATCTCTCTAGGTGTGCTCTCTTTAGTTTATTAGCTTGTTTTCTTTATCCTTGTACATACCAAGTTCCCTTAGGATGTGCTTGCTCCGTTCGGATGTAAGTTAGACCTTAGGTTGCAAACCATGCTTGCTAACATTAGGTAGACGTTTCCCTTTTGTTAATCCAAACCTTAGGACCACCATTGTATGATAATATTAGGTTAGAAATAGGCTAGTCTCCCTTAGACTCTTTTCTTCCCCTTTTTCATATGCATCTAAAACTAAAATCTTTTCTTAGCAAATCAAAAACATGCTAGTCTCACTTAAACCCTTTTTCGAGGTAATAAAACACAAACCAATTCAAACCATTTTGTGTGCTCGAGCACCTTTTCTCTAAAACCCTTTTCAGGTAAGGACATGATTAATTTACTTTTGTGCCAACGTATAAGTCTCCAAAGGTCGAGCTGCGGCAAAAGGCGGAATTAACATTGTCCATAAAAAACATAAAACAAACAAAAACATGTGAGCCAAACTACGGTAGCTCTGAATCCTCAAAAAGGATATGTAGGCATTGGGGTAGGGCCCAAGCGAGTACAACTTTATTTTCCCTACATTCGTTTCTCCTCTCTTTTGCATGCATTCTTTAGCAGTAGTAAACAGTAAGCATATATTAAACACACCTATAAGATAGACAAAAAGAGTGGATACCGTAGAGTACTACGGGCGTGTGGGGTGCTAATACCTTCCCCTCGCGTAACAGACTCCCTTACCCGATCTATCGGTCGCAAGACCGTGACTACTCCCATCTCAGGTTTTCTCGATGTTCATCTTTCCCTCCATGTGGGATAAAAGATGTTCGATTGCGACTTCATTGTTTGATGATTTTCAGCCGGTTGTTTCATGCGGTGCAGGAAAAAGTTACATACAAAGGTGTTGTTATCCTTGATGTTGAAACCAGATGGAATTAAAATTATTCAATGTTGAAGGTTGCCTTACAGTATCAAAAAGCTTTTTACTTGATCTATGCACGAGATAAGACATTTCACGAAGAAATGGACAAAACAAATGGGGGAGTTAAGAAAGAGGATTGGGAATATGTTGCATCAGTGCTTCCCTTGCATGAGATGTTTTAAAAATCTACAAATTGTTTGTCTGGATCATTATATGTCACTAGTGCTTCATATATGGCTGAGGTATTCACCATTGGAAAAGGGATAAATAAGCATTAAAAGAGTAATAATGAGCACAACAAAAACACAACGAATAAGATGAAAGGTAAATTCAACAATTATTGGGGAAATCCTGACACAATAAACATCTTACTATTAATTTATTTTGTTCTTGATCCAAGGGTGAAATTGACTATTGCAAATTTTTATATTGATCTTTTATATGTTGACACCGGAAAAGTCGATGATTTAAAAAAAATGAAGTCTTCTCTTTCATAACTTTATGTTCAATATCAACGTTTTGACGACTCTCAATCTAGCCAAGTAGACACACCACCAAATGAGGATGATAATGATAATATTTTCTGGAACTACAGTCAAGAAACTAGGCATAAGTCTGATCCTAAGACTGAAATTGAATCATATCTACAAGAAACATGGGTACCATGTGTTAAAACAATTGAGTTTGACATCTTAGGTTGGTGGAAAGTCAACTTAACTAGATATCCCATTTTGGAAAGCATAGCTCGAGAAGTGTTGTCTATTCCCGCCTCTACTATAGCTTCAGAATCTGCTTTCAGTAATGGTGGAAGGGTTATTAGTGATTATCGCACTTGTCTAACACCTAAAATGGTGGAAGCGCTTGTTTTCATGCAAGACTGGTTGAAAGGAGAATCAATCTCCTTATTTTCTGAGGAGAACCTTGATGAGATCCATCAATTAGAGCAAGGTAAATCAATTTTCTAACCTTTTTTATTTATAATTTTCCAACTTATTGTTGCAACTCTTTCTTAAGAACTTATTGTTGGCAAGGTAAATTTGTTATCCCTCAAGTCAAGAACTTTTAGTTCTGAATTCCTAGATAATTCAAATTGTATAGATCCAAAGAGATTATTGTTATGAAAATACAAGTACTCTAGATAATACAAACTACTAAAATTTGGTATTGATCCTATTAACTTATTTTGAGAAAGATCCAAAGTTGTAAGACACGTCATGTTGGATATCTCAATAGGGATATAGCCTTCTAGCATATTTTCACTCATGAGAAGAACAACCATATCATAATGCATCCAAGTAGGAATTGTGCCTGAGATTAAATTATTGGATACGTCTAGCCATAATAAATTTGTATTGTTTTCCAACACATGTTCAAGTGTTCAAGGTTATATGGAATTTTACTATGGCTTCATCTCTTTCTTTGATGACTCTGCTTAAAAGATCGTTGGCATGAATTAGTTCATATTTTTTTGGTAATCTTTTCTTTAGCTGATGCAATAGTTGTTGTAGTTTCTTTATCACACCATACTAGTCAGTACAAGACAAGACAACACAACACTGTGTTACAGTGAATCAATAGTGAAATACCATGATGAATATTATTTACTTTGTTTGTATGCTATTTTTTATTTTGTGTTGTAGAGATAACATCTCAGACATCAGTTGATAATCTTGATGATGATGAAGTCTTTGCAAGTTAAAAAGAAATCTTGATTATGGTGAAGCCTTTGTTGCAACTTGCATTGTTTTGACATTGTGACTCCAGATGAAGGACCAGAACAAAGTGGAATAACCAACATACCAACATCTTAACGAAGACCTAAGTTTATCTTATAATAAGGAATCTCTTTTATCTTATTTAGTTTAAGATGACCTAAGTTTAAATCTGATCTTAAATTTCAACTCAATTCTAGATACACACTTAACGATGTTTAATTTTCTTAAATGATAGTTTTACTTGTCATTGTAATTCTATTTAATTTGAAAAATTAGTCTTTACAATTGAATGTTAAAAATACACAATTTTCTAAAGAAAACTAATAGAAACACATCTTTCAAGTATTAGTTGGTTATTTCATAAGTGTTTATTTTTATAAGCACTTGTGTTATAAGCTGTAAATAAGTTGTTTATTCAAGTTTGCGATTTTGATTTAAATTAATTTGTGATTTTGATTTTGAATAACTTAAAAAATTATGTAATAAAATATATTAAAAATATTTATAAAAAAATACTACAAATAAATTTAAATAGTTTTTTATTAAAAAAAAATTTCAAAACGAAGTATAACGGTTCGGTTCCTTAACAAATGGTTCAGTTTGGAAAAATTGTCTTCTAATGGTTTGGTACGGTTCGAAATTCTGAACCGTTATATAGAACCAAAAGTTTTGGTTCAGTTTGGTTCTAAAAAATTGAAATGGTACGGTACCGTTCAAATGACTTTATATAATGGTTCAGTTCAATTTGGTTCAGCTTTTTGATAAAACTGTACCATGAACAACCCTGATTATTTCATAACTTTATCTCAATTTTTCACCATGATGAAATATGATTCAAGGAAAACTTTCAAAAAGAAAGTTGTAGATCTAAATAAAATCTAAAACTTTGTAGGACAGGACAAGTTCTAAAAATGCTTGGATTTTAGGTTATTAATTCATAAAGACATGTTCATAAAACTTAAACACTTAGTGAAATTTTGCCCTATTTAGGCAGATTTTTTACCTAACTTTTGACCAAGTTTCACATAGTTCCAAATTGAATTTTCAAAAATGTCCAACATGAAAGTTTTAGATCATGTTACAAGCTTTCTAAAAAGTCAAAGAACTCCTTGAGATCATTCTTGAGCAAGGAGAATCGAAGGCAAGAAGTTAGGGTTTCATTCTTGTTTTACATGGCAGATTTTTAGGATGAACATGAACCGAATCCATGCTAGGCTGCATAATCTTTGCTTTGCAGGCCTCAAACTTGTTATTCACTTCATAATTAATTGTTTAAACAATTTATTAGGCCTTTATCCAAGTTCTTGAAGCTTTATCCAAATTGGTTTTCCATTTATGACACAAAGTTGCCATTTCCATTTTGATAAAGCCTTACTTTTGCAATTGTCAACTTCTTGAGCCTCTCAATTGTTTTCTCTGCACACAAGCAAAGTAAAAACCTAAAGCAACATGTCTAAGGCCTCTACCAACTCAGATCAAGCTTGTACAACACTTTGGGACTTGTCTTCTCACTTTTCTTCAAAAGTAAGTCATAGAGCTAAAAGGATAGAACTCAGAAACCTTGAGTGCAATTGATCTCTAACCTTTTCCATACATATACACAAGTCTATTGAAATATAAGAAACGAAGCTCAAGCCCTAAAACTCCCTAAAATAGAGAATCACCAAGAACACATCAAAACTTGTCATTTCTGAGTTTTGAACCCAATTTTCAAATCCACTTGTGCGTTCCTTAGCCTTTTGGTTCCTAAAGCTTCTAAACGTCATACATAAACAATCCTAACACCTGTTATCCAACTGTAACTCCATCTTCACCAACCTCCATTTTCAAAAATAGGGCATTGCATCTTGACTTCTCCAGACCATTCCAGCCATCCTCAACACAAACTAATTATTGCATTAGCTTCCTGGGAACTTGAGGAAGCTAACCTGATCATCACCATCACTTGAAACAACCTCTAACTCAAAACATGATCTTCAGCTGTAAGGTGAGTTTTCTAATTTTCAAACTCTTCATATAGGCATTGTTAGGCTTCCATTTTCAAAGATAAAATGTTGACATCATTGCCCCAAAGCTGACCATGTCCTTAGATTTCATTTATATTGCTTGAGTAGTTAGAATTTTGAATCTGAATATCCTGAAAAAGTTAGGTCAAAATTTGTTACCATTAGAAATTCTCATTCATCTTTGATTTATAGCTTTAGTTATTTACATTTCTGAAATCGTGATGAAATTTTACACAACTTTCATGTTTACATTTTCCATTTTGGATGAGAAATGAATGAGTTACATGGATTTTGGCTCGAGGTTAAAGATGAAGTGAATATTCAGAACTTAGTTTGTTTTAAGTTTATTGACTGTTGTCATAATACCGGATGAAACAGCCACCCCAGTGGCAAGAGAAGCGCACTAAAGACATTGTTGTGTGAGGACCTAGGTTCGAGCCCCAACGCGTCCCATTTTTCCTTTTTTCCATGTTTTTCTTTCTTCCAAGCGCGCATGGGCCCTAAGGCTATTGGACCTCTCCTTTTACTTCCAGCATCACCCCCATTTACTTGTTTCAGCACAGGCCCGACTTGTTTCTTTTTATTTTTTTATTCTGATTTCAAAAACCTTATTGGGCCAGGTTTCAAACAAAAAAACACTTTTACTTCAAAACCATCCTAAATCAAATTTTCACCCCCTTGACCAAACTTTTCTTATTTTTATTTTATTTTATTATTCTTTTTTTACTATTATTATAATTATTAATTTTTTATTAATAAAAAGACAAAAAAAATATTTTTATTTTTATTATATACTTATATTATTTTTCAAGACCAAAAAACACAAAATATTTTCTTATACAAATTTAACTTCTTTTCTTAAATAAACTAATAATTAGACTTAGGTTTAGTTTATTTTCTTTTAATTAAAATTAATTTAGAAACTTTGGATTTAATTAATTAATTAATTTTCATACTAGTTTAACTTAATTAAAACCTCTTCACAAACAAAACCCTAGAAAAGGATTTCTTTTCTAATTAACTTAATTAAATTTTCTTATTTTAATTTTAATTTTTTTCTTTTAATTAGTTAGGTTAGATATAAACCTTTCTGTTGTGCCCCAAAATTTGCCCTCCCATATTCTTCAAGAAATTACCAAGTCAAAGCTTCAAAATCTCCCCAAGGGTTGCACAGTGTAAGGGCCTCCTAACAGTCAAAATTAGGGTTTTGATTCTGACAAAGAAAATGAAGTTTCCAAGGGTCCAATCAAGTCCCACATGCCTACAAATATGGTCAAGCATCCTCATACCAAGTTTCAAGACTTACAGCTCAAAATTGCACAGTCAAAAACCCTAATTGCACTACAGTCAACTGTAGGGGCAAAATGGTCATTTGACAGTCAAAAGTTCAAATTTTTGGTCAACATCTCATTTTGAAGCCACAAACATCATTTGATCAATTCTTGATCATGATTCTCAAAGCTTGGCTCAAAAATCCTCAAGATGCAAAAGTTTCCATATTGGGACAGTTGAAAAAGTCAACTGTAAATTGACCAGGGCATAACTTCCACATGGATTATCAGAAAAATTCCATCCAAAGCTAATTTTGAAGAGAAAGACATTTCCTACAATTCCTCTTCACACTTCAAGTCCAAGAAATGCTCTCACAAAAAGTTATCAATTTCAACATTATAGGTCATTTTCAAAAGTCAACAAAAAGGGACTTTAAGTAAAAGGCCATAACTTGAGATTGGTAAATCAAAATGACATGGGACCAAAGACATTGGTTAGAGGACTCAAAGAACTTTCCAAAATGTCCAAGAACATGAGCAAAGCTTAAACATTGAGCAAGTTATGCCTTGTGGAAGTTGGGAAATTTTTGGATATTTTGAAAAGTCAACATTGATTCAAATGACCTAAAAATGCTAATGGGCCTCTTTTTCTTCCACAATTCATCATCCAAGACATGTGCACGACCATTTGGCCCAAAGGGAAGTTTTTTATCATTTTTATTTATTTATTTGGATTTTTTATTATTAATAATTCATTTAATTAAATAAAATACATGAAAAATACCAAGCCTAATGTTTTGAATCTTTTTGTGCATAGAATAGGATCAATATTTCGTGTACAATCAAATATGGAAGGAATTGAAGTGATTGGATATGATTGAAGCCAAAATAGCATGAAAAAATATTGAAAAATATCTTTGAAAATCAAATCTTGAAAGTCATGAATGCCAAGGTTTTTGGTGGTTTTCTTTGACCTAAATCATTCACATATAAGGATGGATGCAAACCCTAATGCAAGGGAGCTCCCAGCTGCGCCCAAAAGCCATAACCAAGTTGACATTTTTTCAAGAAAATTCTGAAACTGAAACCACCATTGCAAGAGTTTTCAAGCCAAAACAACCACTCTATCACCTCCACTTGGGGACAGCACCCCCTTTAGTTTGTTTCTTTTACTTTTTTTTTTATATTTTTCTTTTCTTTATTTTAATTAATTTCTTTTAATTTTTTATAATTATTATTTTCATAATATATAAAAAACACAAACAAATCAGAAAAGATAAAAAGAATAAATATTTTTATTTTACTAGTATTTTTGTAAATAAATTTCATTAAATGATTTTAGTTTTTTTTAAATCTAGGATTCATCTTAATATTTTTGCAATAAAAAACCTAAAATTTGTAGAATTAGGGTTTGTATCAATTTTTATCCTTTTTCTTTTCCTTTCATAATAACTAATTATTAAATATTATTTTTGTAATTAAATTGCATATAAATAATTAGATTAAGTTTAGGTTAAAATTTAATACTTTCTTAATAAACTAAAAAACAATTAGAATTATGGTTAGCATTTTAATTTCAATTAATCTCATTAAATTCTCATAAATACGAAAAAACCAAAAAAAATAATAATTTCTTTTTCTTTTTAATTTCAATTAATTTAATCGTTTAATTTAATCTCATTAAAAAGGGTCCAACGCCCTCGTTTC